GTAAACCGCTTAGAGAGGCCTGAAAGGCCTATGAAGCGGTATATAAGTCTACTGCTATTGCTATTGCTATTAATAATAAAATTCCTCAACATTTTAGTCAAATGTCAAACATACTGTCTCTCTCTGTGTGTGTGTGTGTGTAATCTCTATACACATATATCTCCATTCCAGCAGTCATTGTACTACTAGACTATGCATATAAATGGGTAAATCAACCATAAACCAAAAGGAAAACAAAAAAAGAAACCTAGGTACAACTGAGTAATTCATTAGTAGCCCAATATTCACAATTTCCATTTCCTAAGCCCTCCTGATCTGTCCCGTTACAATGGCTTCATACTGAAACTGAGAAAAGAAGGTAATACTGTATGTCAAAATAGTCCGGAGATTTGTTCACTAGAAACAATTATCTTTCCAATGATTACTATAGCTCTGAAATGGTTCCATAATAATCTCCAATCAACCTAGATCTTAAAGATTTAAACATTTTACTATAGCATAGTAGTTGTAAATCATAATTCTTCCACAACATTCATGGAGTACAGTATGTCCGGTGAGAAAAGTGTTATATATCTATCCTTCAACAGTTGGGAAAGATAAATTCATATAGTATATAATGTGGGTTTACAGATCATACTAAGACATTGTGTGTTTTTTTCTTTTGTTTTGGTCTAATGTATTTTGTCAGCCATTATGATTTATAAACTTTAGGGGGATTGGAGGCTATATTTCACATACAGAAGTATGTTGGGATTGTATTTCCAAAATAATAAATGGAGCCACAAGGAAAATAGAGTCTAATTGGAGGAGGTTTTGCTTCTAATTATAACCATTCTTCATAACCTTGCTTACCGTAATTATTGCTATTATCACCAAAAGTATTATAATTGTTGGAAGGAGCGCCAATGGCCATGGAATCTGTGATCTATTCAATGTAGTGATACAGTGAGTGAGAGTTCAGCAAAAATTATTTTCCTGTTGCAGTGCTTTTAGAAGTGTTAGAAGTGTATATAAACATATCTAAAATTATTGAATGACAATAAACATGTTATCTCATTGTTTGGTCCATATGTGCTTGGAATCTGTCCAACTCTAGAGATATTAAATGGAGAAGGCTATCCATGAGACTACATTGGCAGCTTGTAGCTATCATATATTTTTAACTATAGAACTAAATTTAAATAATATATAATGCATTTGAATATAACATTGGAATACCAACCTTGCTAGTCAATGTTTTCGGGTTGTAAGGAATGTTAGATATAAAGCTATATTTGAAAATCATATGAAGTACATTTTACTTATATAATATATACTGTAGGTATATTGGATTTTCAAAGAATGTTTTTAAAAGATTGATTATTATTCTTTCTAAGCTGGTATGTTACAGTTCAAAAATACTTTATTGCAGAAGCTGTGGACATGTCTAGTAGTGATTCCTAATTGGTTAGACGTTATTAAAATGGTTAATCATGTTCTTGGATGGAAGTTAAGGGTCAAAGTGCTTTTAAACTATAGTCCTCAACATTTAGAATGTTTCAGTTTATATAGAACTTTGGCTATTTATTGTCTTTGGATTTTTCTGGAAAAAGCAAGTATACATTCCTGGATATTTATGTAACAGACATTAAACATTATCTTATTAAAAATTATCATTTCACAGTTTTTGAACTAGCTTTATACTGAATAAGAGGCAAAAGTAGATAATATTCCTTATAGTCTGGGTTCAGTTCACTGTTTTAAAATTGAATGGTAACAATTTGTGTTGGTATAAAATTAAGAACATGACATTATATAGTAGATGAAAAAGTGATTTTAAAATTTGATAGTTTTGTTAATGATGTTTTCTATTTCCAATTATGTCTATTTTTTTCCTGGTTTTTAAAATTTGTTCCTTTTTTAACATTCCTAGTGTTTTGTTATTTCTTTTTCTTTTTTATCATGTATGGTAGTAAATTTTATAATAGCTTTTGATCTGTATAGTTTTAAATCTTTCTTTTTCTGTTTATTGTTCG